CCCACTGTTAACCTGTACCTAAAGGGAATGCAAAGTCTTCCACTGTTAACCTGTACCTGTACCTAAAGGGAATGCAAAGTCTCCTACTGTTAACCTGTACCTGTACGTAAAGGGAATGCAAAATCTTCCACTGTTAACATGTACCTAAATTGAATTCAAAGTCTTCCACTGTTAACCTGTACCTGTACCTAAATTGAATGCAAAGTCTTCCACTGTTAACATGTACCTGTACCTAAAGGGAATGCAAAGTATCCCACTGTTAACCTGTACCTGTACCTAAATTGAATGCAAAGTCTTCCACTGTTAACCTGTACCTGTACGTAAAGGGAATGCAAAGTCTACCACTGTTAACCTGTACCTGTACCTTAATTGAATGCAATGTCTTCCACTGTTAACCTGTACATGTACCTAAATTGAATGCAAAGTCTTCCACTGTTAACCTGTACATGTACCTAAATTGAATGCAAAGTCTCCTTCTGTTAACCTGTACCTGTACCTAAATTGAATTCAAAGTCTTCCACTGTTAACCTGTACCTGTACCTAAAGGGAATGCAAAGTCTTCCACTGTTAACCTGTACCTGTACCTAAAGGGAATGCAAAGTCTTCCACTGTTAACCTGTACCTAAAGGGAATGCAAAGTCTACCACTGTTAACCTGTACCTGTACCTAAATTGAATGCAAAGTCTTCCACTGTTAACCTGTACCTGTACCTAAAGGGAATGCAAAGTCTTCCACTGTTAACCTGTACCTGTACCTAAAGGGAATTCAAAGTCTCCCACTGTTAACATGTACCTGTACCTAAAGGGAATGCAAAGTCTTCCACTGTTAACCTGTACCTGTACGTAAAGGGAATGCAAAGTCTTCCACTGTTAACCTGTACCTGTACCTAAAGGGAATTCAAAGTCTCCCACTGTTAACCTGTACCTGTACCTAAATTGAATGCATAGTCTTCCACTGTTAACCTGTACCTGTACCTAAATTGAATTCAAAGTCTTCCACTGTTAACCTGTACCTGTACCTAAATTGAATTCAAAGTCTTCCACTGTTAACCTGTACCTGTACCTAAATTGAATGCAAAGTCTCCCACTGTTAACCTGTACCTGTACCTAAATTGAATTCAAAGTCTTCCACTGTTAACCTGTACCTGTACGTAAAGGGAATGCAAAGTCTTCCACTGTTAACCTGTACCTGTACGTAAAGGGAATGCAAAGTCTACCACTGTTAACCTGTACCTATACCTTAATTGAATGCAATGTCTTCCACTGTTAACCTGTACCTAAAGGGAATGCAAAGTCTCCCACTGTTAACCTGTACCTGTACCTTAATTGAATGCAATGTCTTCCACTGTTTACCTGTACCTGTACCTAAATTGAATGCAAAGTCTCCCACTGTTAACCTGTACCTGTACCTAAATTGAATTCAAAGTCTTCCACTGTTAACTTGTACCTGTACGTAAAGGGAATGCAAAGTCTCCCACTGTTAACCTGTACCTGTACCTAAATTGAATGCAAAGTCTCCCACTGTTAACCTGTACGTAAAGGGAATGCAAAGTCTTCCACTGTTAACCTGTACCTGTACCTAAATTGAATGCAAAGTCTTCCACTGTTAACCTGTACCTGTACCTAAATTGAATTCAAAGTCTTCCACTGTTAACCTGTACCTGTACCTAAAGGGAATGCAAAGTCTTCCACTGTTAACCTGTACCTGTACCTTAATTGAATTCAAAGTCTCCCACTGTTAACCTGTACGTAAAGGGAATGCAAAGTCTTCCACTGTTAACCTGTACCTGTACCTAAAGGGAATGCAAAGTCTCCCACTGTTAACCTGTACCTGTACCTAAAGGGAATGCAAAGTCTCCCACTGTTAACCTGTACCTGTACCTAAATTGAATGCAAAGTATCCCACTGTTAACCTGTACCTGTACGTAAAGGGAATGCAAAGTATTCCACTGTTAACATGTACCTGTACCTAAAGGGAATGCAAAGTATTCCACTGTTAACCTGTACCTGTACCTAAATTGAATGCGATGTCTTCCACTGTTAACCTGTACCTGTACCTGAAGGGACTGTAAAACCTCCCACTGTTATCTGGAACCTAAATGTATACCACATACTCTCCCAACCACTCAACGCCCTAGTTCCCAGCGAGTGGTCAAACACTGTCACTGAATGTTTAACCATTTGTTCACTTCCACTGTCTCACAGACAGGTGCGTTTAAAATATTTTAGGAGTCGTATAATCTTTCTGTCGACAATTCGCTATTCCAATGGTGTGTTTTTCTCCCAAAGGCAAACCTTGGAGGTATAAGTATTCTCGCCACAACGATATGCCTATGCAGAGAGTTGTTGATTTTACAAGGGTATTAACCAGGCGTTATCGCCAAGGGACGCATACTATGACAGTAATCAGAGAGCTTTGCTATGTTCCTTGCTTTGTCAGTATCAACGAGTCACCGCGCATTCACATGAGTCACTAAACCATTCCAACATACTGTCGATTCCGCTAAAAAAAATCTTGTAATATATTGCAAAATACGAATGCATAATACAACGTTTGAAACAGCTTGCAATGATAAAACATAATTTCAAACGCATCTTGTATTATGCTGTAAAATGTGAATGCTTAATGCATCGTTTGAAACAGTTTGCAATATTTACATGTATCTTTCAGTGTCACAGAATGCCCCAGGTGCATGAATGTGCAAGTGATAAAAATGTTTCGTTTTTTAACAAAGTTCCTCTGGATCACCAGGGGCTTTCCGCCACATAGAAATTGTGTTAATGGCTGACGTTAGGCTGAATCATTATATACTGAGTCAAAAAAGAAACTTCACAAAATGTAATTTGAAAAATAATGTATAATTTTTCTCTGATGATACATCTATGTATCCGAAATGGGATCCCTATCTTTCGACTCTAGAAAAACGTTAGCAAAACCCACTCAAACCCATCCATTCGTCGTGCAAATAACGTTAGTGCCAAATCAGGTTTTGCACGTGCAGTCGATCACGTGATCTTCGCATCGAAGTTTTCTTCATATGCACGTGTTTGCCTTGGCCTCAAGAATTTAAAAAACACTTTTAAACCACAGTTCTAACGGTACTTGAAATGCCACGATTGTCAAATGTGCAGCGTGAACGTGCCGTTGGCATGTTGCAAGCGGGAAGATCAGTTATTGACGTCGCAGGAGCAATGGGATGCAGCCGTCGTACTGTGTTTGCGAGGTCGTCTACAACAAACTGGCACCACTTCTGATCGCCCAAGGTCGGGTCGTCCACGTGTGACGTCACGAGCAGAAGACCGTCAAATCGTCCTACGTCACCTACGTGACAGATTTCTGCCGGCTACACGAACCAGGGCTGAGATGTTTAGAGGTCGACTGTCCTCACAGACCATTCGAAATCGGTTGTGGGCTGCCAATCTCCATTCTCGACGTCCATATCGTGGGCCAATATTGACGCCGTTTCATCAACGTCAACGTCTGCTGTGGGCCCAACGTCACCTCCGATGGACCCAGAGAGACTGGCATCGAGTCGTCTGTAGAGATGAATCCAGGTTTACCCTCAGATTCGCGGACGGCAGGCATAGAGTCTGGAGACGACGTCGTAAACGGTATGCCCAATGTTGTGTACAGGAAGTCGACAGATTCGGGGGCGGATGTTGCATGGTGTGGGGTGCTTTCTGTGGGAACAACCGTTCCCGACTTCTGGTCATCCGTGGAAACCTTACCGCGACCAGGTGCTCACCCCTGAACTCGTTCCTTTCATGGCGGCTCATGGCCCAGGTCTACAGTTCCAGCATGATAATGCTCGGCCGCATACCGCGATGTTGACACGAAATTTCCTTCAAAACGCTGGAATCAACGTCATGGACTGGCCATCGAGGTCCCCTGACCTTAATCCAATAGAGCACGTTTGGGATGCACTTGGGAGAAGGCTTCGTGGTCTTAGGAACCAACCTCAGAATTTGCAGGAACTTGGCGCTGCCTTGCAAGAGCAATGGCGCAGAATCCCCAACCACATGTTCACAAGCATCAGGCAGTCGATGAGGAGACGGTGTTTGGCAGTGGTGAATGCGCGGGGCGGCCATACACGATACTGAACTGAGAAATTTCGCATTTTTATTCTTGTGACTTGACATTCTGTATACCCATGTTTTGGAACGGCGGTGTAGCCTAATGGAACTGATTATGGCACTGTCAGTGTATCGAGTACATCACACAGATCTCAGCAATGAAATAATAACAATTTAACCATCTTACCATCTCTTGTTATTTTAAAGTGCCCTGAAGAAAGAATGTGAAGTTTCTTTTTTTGACTCAGTATATATGAAGCAAACTATATTTATTATGGCTATAATACCGATGTATGACGAACACGTGGGTTGAGACACAGATATCTAAACATACGGTCAAGACCCAAGATTCCACGTGAATTATATATATCTATGTGATAGGTCATAGATCAACCACCGAACTGTCAGGTAGCCAGTACTGTGTATATTTTCACTATACATTAATGATTCTGATTCCTTTGTGGAAGGAAATGAGTTGTAAATGGTTTGGTGTTTCCATGTGGCTAATGCATTCAGAAGGACTCACGGAGACACAGTTAATCCGATTACTGGACGTTCACCTGTCACACCCATGCGAAGAATATAACTAGATGAGTTCTACCAGTAATAGACACAGCGATCGTCTGGTCCGAGCGCTAACCTAATCTGTACCTGTCATTACTGATGTTATATCTCATGTTGAAACTGACCAAATCATGATCTTGAACCAATAGCTGTTCGGTTCTAATACATTTGATAGAGACACACTCCCATATAAGGTATTACCATGTGAAACTAGATGCCGTGTGTGTTGTTACTCTGCCATGTTCAATGTACAATAGAGAGTACGTACCCCATACGTATTGTCCACATCCAGCATCCTCGTGTGGAGAGTGTCACAAGGGGGCGCTCTCTGTACCTCACTAACACAACAACACTGACAACAAGAAATGAAGTAAATGTAATTGAACTAATTGTTACCTATATCACGAAGTCACACCGAAATATACAGGAGCTCCGTAATCATTATTCACACATACAAAATATACAACTTGAATCAAACCATCAGTATGACAGTTGAAGGAAACTATGTACAAACAAAAATCTCTTCTAGTTAACAAGTAAGTGCCCAAAGTGGCCATATTGTTGATGTTTACAGTGACCCGCCGCCAGGCGTCACAGGCTGGTATTGGTATACAGACAGGTAATAGCGTTATGAACATGTACGCTGTAGACGTAATAACTTCAGATACTTTCACAGAATATAACAGCATTCTTCCTGATTTTATGTAAAGTCTTCCTTATCAACTGGGTGCAATTAAGCAGCTCCAGCAGCGATCGGGTTGTTGGGGACGTGGACAGGTACAAAGTGGCGTTTACAAATTAGAAGAGAGCGACAAGCCTCTGCAGCTCACCTAACCTAAAAATCTATAAGCTTTGTTCACAATGAGAATAATGGCTGCGGTGCGTATGGCAATGTGGAATCCAGAGTGTGTGAGTGAGATGATAGACCGCTTTATCCGGAAATATCACGGCGGGGGGACACCAGGAATTCTGCGCTTGTGGGAAATTGAACCCGGGTCTGCGGCGTGACGAGCGAACGCTTTATTCACTAGGCTACCCCACCGCCCCAGGCACACGGAGCATGCAACACGTGACATCTTCATGTATTACACACGGTACACCACTCATGGTGTATTACAGTAGACGGACACCCCATGGTGCATTACAATAGACGGACACACCATGGCGTGTTACAGTAGACGGCCACACCATGGTGTATTATAGTAGAGACACAAGTATATACTTTTATGATATAATATGCATCGTCGTGAATTCAGGTAAAACTATCAAACACTGTTACAGGGAAAAGAACACCATGTGGTATTACAGGCTAACGAAACAGCTAATGAATAAATATTTAATCTGTTAGCTGTCGGACATAGAGTATCTCACCGGGGAAATGATGTATAAATGCATTATAACAACCAAAGACCTGAGTACACAGCGAACACTATGATAAAGTCGCTGCCACCGTACTTGGGGTTGCCGGCGGCAGCGTGTGCGCTGTCTACATGCTGGTAACTGTCATCAGACTGTGGACGGGACGGGTTATTTGGGCCTGGGGTGGGGTCAACAGTGACGAGCGTAGAGACACTGTCATTGGACAATTGGCCTTTCCGGGCTGACGTAGTCCTGTCTATGCTGGGTAAGTTCTTACACGGAAACATATCTTGCCTGATCTGAAGCGTCACTAGAGCTTTCCTCACATCATTTTTAGCAAATCTCCAGCTGAGTTTATCACACTCGGCAGCCCTCATGACAAGGGCCTCTCGCTTCTTTAGGTGGTTGAACACAATACAACGAACATCATTCTTATCGAGGGTATTCTGAATTAGCACAATTTTCTCCCAATATTGCCCTTCAAACACAGCTATACACTTATACTCGTTGACCAAAGGTGCTGAGAGGCATTCAGTAAAATCCATTCTGAGACGACTTTGCTCCTTGCAGTCTTCATACATGCTGCCTGGACAGATGTGGCCATCCTGAAACATGGCCTGTATGGTGTAGGCTGATGTCAGGTTACAAGCCACACTTACTGGGCGCGGGTACTCCGCAACTATAGGCTTCTTTGTGTCATAGTGAGATCTGTAAAGGTCGGATATTGGATCTAAATCAGCAGTAAACTTTCTTTTGTCACATGCAGATGCGCTAAGCTGGGAGTCCACGCTCGGCCAGACAAGACTCTGACTGAGGCTGTAGGCTAACACAGAGGGGCCGAGTTCCTTCAGCTTCACACAGTTGTACCTGGGCCGACAGCCGTTCTCAGTAATTGACACAGTGCTGTAGATATGGTTGGAAGCGGATGGGCTGCCACTAAATACCATACACTTAAAAGTGCCGACATGTTGTATAGTCATCAAAGATTCACTTATTTCCACAGCCTTAGTCCCATCTCTGTCAACAAGGGTGAATGAACCTCGATAACTCCTGGGGAATGAACATATCGCCGCCGGTCTCCGCGGATCACAGGCTCGGCACGTCTTCATACACTGCCTGCGGGTGTAGCCATTACACGGCATATCGGCACATTCAGGGTACTCGTCAGCGCATAGATTGTTGTACACAACTCGCTCCAAGTATAGAGTCAGATATGACACAGTTTCCTTCGTGTGTCTGCCCGGGTCTACACAGGCCACGTCGGTGAACAGGGTGGCGTGCATGGTGTGCCGCTCCCGTCGGGGAATCCTCAGACACCAGATGTCGTCAACGTTGTGCTTCCTCAGTACGGAGAAGTGGCTGCGCGACGTGGACCAGCTGGCCACGCATATCGTTTCCTGGACAGTGCGCATGGACACGAGAGGAAGGCAGTTTTGGGAACGGTAGTTGAAAGTGACGCCCTCCCCTGCCAGACAGTCACTCTCCAGACGCATGGGGAGGTCCATCAAATTGCATGGATTTCTTTTACCATCAGAATCCTCGATCTTCATGTTGAAGCCACCTGACACAGAACAAGGGGAGAAATCGGACTCTAAGAGATGGAATGCCACCAGTAGCCACGGGTCTGTTACAAGACTCGTATCTGAGCAGAGATGTTCCGGGTCTAACTTTTTACCAGACTGCGACCATGCCACCTGCATTATTGACCTGCTTCTCTTGAAGAACTTAACGCAGGAAAACAGCATCTGATTGGACCCTTGGTCCTTCTGCACAACATACTTGTTCCTCAAGGCAACAGTACAGTTCCACTGCTCCTCTGTTGCCAGAAGAGTGTCTGTGATACTAATGGAGCCCCCCTGCACAACAATGACTCTTGATCTGGCCCCGTCGTGTCTGACATGTGAGTACCAGGGCTGGGTACTGTTTTGTGTCTGCATGAAGTCCGGGAAGTCACAGGCTTCGGCCAACCAGGCCATCCAGATGATGACCACTATAAACCACGGATCCATGTTCGCCACACATCGAGGGGGGTCTGAAACAAGCACAAATATAATAGTAGGGATAATAAATCACTAAGAACCTAGCTTTGGTTTGGTTTACGACAGTGTGGTAATATTTCACACTGTGCGATTATGAAACAAATATGTTTACCACGACATTTAGGAAGTAAGGACTCAATAGTTTTAGTGGTGTTGCCTGAGCAAATGATCAGTGGACCGGGATGAAAATGTTGTGTTATGTGTCATTTTACATTCATCGTTACTAGAAAGACAATCTGCTCTCAACCCAGGAGGTGTGTCTGGACACTTGATGGATGTGTATAACCGTCATATTGTCAAACCCGTGACACAAGAGCAGACACACACTAACTTCAACTAATTATTTCAAATACTTCAAACAACTCGCAAAAGTACATATTTCAAATACCCTCACAACTTACAACAGTCCATGCTGCAAATACCCTCACGACCTACAACAGTAAATGCTGCAAATACCCTCACGACCTACAACAGTACATGTTTCCCAAACCCCACGACCTACACCAGTACATATTTCAAATACCCTTACAACTTACAACAGTCCATGCTGCAAATACCATCACGACCTACAACAGTAAATGCTGCAAATACACTCACAACCTACAACAGTCCATGCTGCAATTACCCTCACAACCTACAACAGTCCATGCTGCAAATACCCTCACAACCTACAACAGTAAATGCTGAAAATACCCTCACGACCTACAACAGTAAATGCTGTAAATAGCCTCACAACCTACAACAGTAAATGCTGCGAATACCCTCACAACCTACAACAGTAAATGCTGCAAATAGCCTCACAACCTACAACAGTAAATGCTGCAAATACCCTCACAACCTACAACAGTCCATGCTGCAAATAGCCTCACAACCTACAACAGTAAATGCTGCAAATACCCTCACAACTTACAACAGTCCATGCTGCAAATACCTCACAACCTACAACAGTAAATGCTGCAAATACCCTCACAACTTACAACAGTCCATGCTGCAAATACCCTCACAACCTACAACAGTAAATGCTGCAAAAGCCTCACAACCTACAACAGTTCATGCTGAAAATAACCTCACAACCTACAACATTAAATGCTGCAAATACCCTCACAACTTACAACAGTAATTGCTGCAAATACCCTCACAACCTACAACAGTAATTGCTGCAAATACCCTCACAACCTACAACGGTACATGTATGCTGAATACCCTGACGACCTACAACAGTAAATGCTGCAAATATCCTCACAACCTACAACAGTAAATGCTGCAAATAACCTCTCACAACTTACAACAGTCCATGCTGCAAATACCCTCACAACTTACAACAGTAAATGCTGCAAATACCCTCACAACTTACAACAGTCCATGCTGCAAATACCCTCACAACCTACAACAGTAAATGCTGCAAATAGCCTCACAACTTACAACAGTCCATGCTGCAAATACCCTCACAACCTACAACAGTAAATGCTGCAAATACCCTCACAACTTACAACAGTCCATGCTGCAAATACCCTCACAACTTACAACAGTAAATGCTGCAAATACCCTCACAACCTACAACAGTTCATGCTGCAAATAACCTCACAACCTACAACATTAAATGCTGCAAATACCCTCACAACTTACAACAGTAATTGCTGCAAATACCCTCACAACCTACAACAGTAATTGCTGCAAATACCCTCACAACCTACAACAGTACATGTTTCAAATACCCTGACGACCTACAACATTAAATGCTGCGAATAGCCTCACAACCCACAACAGTAAATGCTGCAAATACCCTCACAACCTACAACAGTCCATGCTGCAAATACCCTCACAACCTACAACAGTAAATGCTGCAAATACCCTCACAACCTACAACAGTCCATGCTGCAAATACCCTCACAACCTACAACGGTAATTGCTGCAAATACCCTCACAACTTACAACAGTCCATGCTGCAAATACCCCCACAACCTACAACACTAATTGCTGCAAATACCATCACAACTTACAACAGTAAATGCTGCAAATACCCTCACAACCTACACAACAGTATATGCTGCAAATACCCTCACAACCTACAACAGTCCATGCTGCAAATACACTCACAACCTACAACAGTAAATGCTGCAAATAGCCCTCACAACCTACAACAGTAAATGCTGCAAATACCCTCACAACCTACAATGCTGCAAATAGTACAACTTACAACGGTACAGTAATGCTGCAAATAGCCTCACAACCTACAACAGTAAATCCTGCGAATAGTCTCACAACCTACAACAGTAAATGCTGCAAATACCCTCACAACTTACAACAGTCCATGCTGCAAATACACTCACAACCTACAACAATCAATGCTGCAAATACCCTCACAATTTACAACAGCCCATGCTGCAAATACACTCACAACCTCCAACAGTAAATGCTGCAAATACCCCCACAGCCTACAACAGTCCATGCTGAAAATAACCTCACAACCTACAACATTAAATGCTGCAAATACCCTCACAACCTACAACAGTAAATGCTGCAAATACCCTCACAATTTACAACAGCCCATGCTGCAAATACACTCACAACCTCCAACAGTAAATGCTGCAAATACCCCCACAACCTACAACAGTCCATGCTGCAAATACCCTCACAACCTACAACAGTAAATGCTGCAAATACCCCCACAACCTACAACAGTCCATGCTGAAAATAACCTCACAACCTACAACATTAAATGCTGCAAATACCCTCACAACCTACAACAGTAAATGCTGCAAATACCCTCACAATTTACAACAGTAAATGCTGCAAATACCCTCACAACTTACAACAGTAAATGCTGCAAATACCCTCACAACCTACAACAGTATATGCTGCAAATACTCTCACAACCTACAACAGTAAATCCTGCGAATAGTCTCACAACCTACAACAGTAAATGCTGCAAATACCCTCACAACTTACAACAGTCCATGCTGCAAATACACTCACAACCTACAACAATCAATGCTGCAAATACCCTCACAATTTACAACAGCCCATGCTGCAAATACACTCACAACCTCCAACAGTAAATGCTGCAAATACCCCCACAGCCTACAACAGTCCATGCTGAAAATAACCTCACAACCTACAACATTAAATGCTGCAAATACCCTCACTACCCTCACCTACAACAGTAAATGCTGCAAATACCCTCCCCTACAACAATTTACAACAGTAAAGGCTGCAAATACCCTCACAACTTACAACAGTAAATGCTGCAAATACCCTCAAAACCTACAACAGTAAATGCTGCAAATACCCTCACAACCTACAACAGTAAATGCTGCAAATATCCTCACAACTTACAACAGTAAATGCTGCAAATACCCTCACAACTTACAACAGTCCATGCTGCAAATACCTCACAACTTACAACAGTAAATGCTGCAAATATCCTCACAACTTACAACAGTAAATGCTGAAAATACCCTCACAACCTACAACAGTAAATGCTGCAAATATCCTCACAACCTACAACAGTAAATGCTGCAAATACCCTCACAACCTGCAACAGTAAATGCTGCAAATATCCTCAAAACCTACAACAGTAAATGCTGCAAATATCCTCACAACCTACAACAGTAAATGCTGCAAATACCCTCACAACCTACAACAGTAAATGCTGCAAATATCCTCACAACCTACAACAGTAAATGCTGCAAATACCCTCAGAGAACCTTTCCAAAACGGTATTTTTTTTCGAAACATTGGTATTTTGAAACAAGTAGTATTAAAGATCCTGACGAGGGCGCCGTGACATGTCTGACCAGGCTTGTGCAGGGCAGTTGGAGGCACATGTTCACACAATGTGAGTGTGCTTTCCACAAGTAGGACTCGGGCACGCACATTGTTTTGGCAGTAATGAAGAAACCAATCGATTCGGGAAAAAAGCAGCTTCAGAAAGAAAGGTTTATCAGCCTCCAATTTTCAAACAACAAATTACAAATACAAGACCCTATCTCAACAAAGAAGTGAGAGATAAGACGATCGCAGAACCAGGACTTCCACCAGTTCGTGCAGGATTGGAAACGCAAGCAAAAAGAAATCTCAACTATTTCAGCAAACAAAAAGTTGAAAGCGAATGATGAATTGTGCCCTATGGGAATATTTCTAACCATGTAGAGGTTAATGTAATCACGTCTAGCGGGAAGGGTGCTTAACTTTAACTGCTCGTGCTCGCTGCTTGTACCGAGGCGGCACTGGTCGATAACTGGAAAGATTGTTTCTGCACATTTAATTAGCGTGTTTATTATGTTTACTGCCTGTCTGGTCAACTACAGTCACGAGATAAAACACAGGCCTGTGACATAAATCAAGTTCATGTTTCGGAACGTGCACACATAATTGGTGTGACTGATCTTCTCTCATTCCAGACCCTGGGGAGAGGAGGAGGCAGGTCAATGGCGTCCCCGGCTTCGTGACTGGAGCTCACAGGAGGCTTCTTGTCGTAATACAGAAAACATCTTCACATACGCCAGTTTTACCTGGGAAATCAGTGTAAGACTGGACCCCATCAACTGGACATCTTTGAATGGAAGAACAAGATCTGTCATACACCAAGCGAGTGACTGACTACACCCAGACACCGGCACATGTAATTCACAGTACACCTCACTACTAATACATGTAATTCACGTACACCTCACTACTAATACATGTAATTCACGTACACCTCACTACTAATGCATATAACTCACAGTACATCTCACTAATAGTACATGTAATTCACAGTACACCTCACTACTAATGCATATAATTCACGTACACCTCACTACTAATGCATGTTATTCACGTACACCTCACTACTAATGCATATAATTCACGTACACCTCACTACTAATACATGTAATTCACGTACACCTCACTACTAATGCATATAATTCACAGTACACCTCACTAATAATACATGTAATTCACGTACACCTCACTACTAATGCATATAATTCACGTACACCTCACTACTAATGCATGTAATTCACGTACACCTCACTACTAATACATGTAATTCACGTACACCTCACTACTAATGCATGTAATTCACAGTACACCTCACTACTAATGCATGTAATTCACGTACACCCCACTACTAATACATGTAATTCACAGTACACCTCACTACTAATACATGTAATTCACGTACACCTCACTACTAATACATGTTATTCACAGTACACCTCACTACTAATACATGTAATTCACGTACACCTCACTACTAATACATATAATTCACGTACACCTCACTACTAATACATGTAATTCACGTACACCTCACTACTAATACATGTAATTCACGTACACCTCACTACTAATACATGTAATTCACGTACACCTCACTACTAATACATGTAATTCACGTACACCTCACTACTAATGCATGTAATTCACAGTACACCTCACTACTAATACATGTAATTCACGTACACCTCACTACTAATGCATGTAATTCACAGTACATTTCACTACTAATACATGTAATTCACGTACACCTCACTACTAATACATGTAATTCACGTACACCTCACTACTAATACATGTAATTCACAGTACACCTCACTACTAATACATGTAATTCACGTACACCTCACTTCTAATGCATGTAATTCACAGTACACCTCACTACTAATACATGTAATTCACGTACACCTCACTACTAATGCATGTAATTCACAGTACACCCAGCTATTATCGAGCACTGATCTATTCATTGCCAGAATTCTACGAGGCACAGCTATAAGAGTGTTGTCAGGGTATTCTGTTGTTAATGATAGAAAACCACTGACGAGGTGAACCTTAATATCTGCTTCAAGTGTTCACAGCATGCCACAAACACGTGCTAAACATCGTCAGCACGAGAACCCCCTATTACTATAGTTCCTAATCAGTCAGTCAGACAGCACACATGTATACGTGGCCCCGCACCCGCACGGGTACTTCTTCCATATGTATCAGCTCCAAGGGTATTGATTATATAGCAACACGTATCTCAAAAGATAATTAGTTTCACTACTACCGTATTTATGAGTCTAATATTGTGTGTAATCAAGAAGCTGAGAGATGGTCTGTTCGGGGAACGCGCCGAACACCTGACTTCCTTTCGCCCTGGAATGACAAAGCGTACCGCCTGCTAGGGACCCGGAAACTTGATTACACTTAGCAGAATCAGTTCAACGAGAAAATACCTTGATACTCGAGCAGAACCTTCTGTCCTCAAATCACCGACACTAACTTCCTTACTTCATCCTCCTGAAAACACAGCTCCTCCACGAGCAACCCAACCCATAGCCATTTCACTCCAATATTAACGGCGAGGCTTTTAGTTCGTTAGCTTGTCTCTTCATCTCGAAAATCAAACAACATTGACTTGAGAATAAACGTTCTCAGCAGTTCTTGGATGCAAGAGATACAAAAAGTCAGAACTGTTCCCTGGCGGCATGCGTGCGTCATGTAAAACACTAATTACTTGTGTTATGAAACATCATCGGCCCTGATTGAATCTAATTAAAGCTGCATGCTGCGAGTCTGGTTTCGCCGTTTGGCTTTTCACGAAGATCTATAACCGTGGAGAAAAACGTCTACAAAGAAAACGTAATTAAATACGGTATTGGTTTCCCTGGAAATACAGTTTATATAGTGGAAGTAGCCAGGAGAAGCCTGTAATGGACCTATCATCTGTAGGTGCTTCAACGCCGCAACAGGGAGGTAGTTCTTGGGGCAAACAAGGCAATCAATATTGGCCATTGGCTATATCAGACAGTAGGGGGACATCGCACAAAAACTCTGTATGTGGTTGATTACACACAATCTATGGATACCTTCTTGCTTGGAATCTACAATTCAGTTAGAAGAATGCAATGTTTATGCTGTATTCCAGCAACAAGACGGATGTTAATCACGATGGCAGTAAACACACCAAGGTGGACATTGGTGATAGAGACTGGGGATCTCTTGGAACCAGTAGATGCACAGTGATAATACGTAGAGACCCTGAACAAATATCTTACCATTTTCCTTGCTCCATACTCTAAACAGGTTTTAAAGTATCAATAATCGGAATATAATCAATATATCAATATTCATGATTGACATGTTTGGCAGTTTTATCAAGAGTTTTTCTGGGTTGCTTTGCTGTTTCAGGAAGGCAACTTCCAGTAGATGTAGACATATCTTCAATATGTTTTCATCATCGTTGTCGAAAGATGACAGTACAAAATGAATATTCTGCTCAAAACCAATTCCAACAATAAACATCCAGGACTATCATCTTTGTTTCCATGGATACACCAAAATACGACGAAACTGGATACCCGACGTCATGTACATAATACAACAGTGTGAAAGGTCATTGCCATATCTCAGTTTGTTTCAAATGCCACACAGAAGTGACAAGCCTTCAGGTCCGGGGACATTGCCTCGGGGTCATACACTTCGAAATATCTTCAACTAAACCGAAACTTCAGAATGTTCTCTGTGAATCAAGACTGGGACATATTGCGTCTTTACAAAAATGGTTAATGCATTTTGTTGAGCTAGTCGTTGTCAGGGTAACCCTTGTTTACAGATAGAAGCGAATGTCATATCCCCCATGTGTTCGGGGTTTAACTGAGATAATTCATCAACACCGAATACACCAGCAAAGGCATTTATATTGTTATCAAAGACAAGCATTGCATTATAAGTTATGACATATACATGTTTATATCAACTGTGGAATAAAAACAACGGTGCTTTGATTAACCTTATAGCCTCACTTCTCAGTCACCACGGACAACGTTTCACAATTAATAACACAAAACATGTTCATAATTCTATAGTTAGTTTCTCAGAAAAATCGCAAGTATTAAATGCCTAAAATAGTCAGACTGGTACTCCTCTCACTACTGCCATATGTTGTATCAAAAACCTTTTAAGGCGATGAAGTATGACTTTTTTCACAAATGCCACATGAACACGCCATATCAAGTAAGTCTGGGATATTGTCTTAGCTTACCTTTCGCTGCGTGGAAAATGTGCTTATCCCTGGAGAGAAATTCAGGCAAGGATCCTTGTGACTTGAGTCTGAATCACGAGCCATTTCCTCGACATTGCATAAGGGCATACGGTCAGTCGTATTTAAAATTCCTGTGTGTGCCAAACTTTAACATAAATCTTTATATCAACTGCAACAAACTGGATGAGATGACGTGTTAGTGCTGCTGGGCTTGGTAGCCCGGTATTGACGCGAGTTGCTGGAGACTCTATGGCCGTGGTGGCTTTGCGTGACAAGTCTGCCAAGGTTCCTCACCAATCAGGTCTGGGAAAGGTCGATACCATATCCCGCGGTAGGATATCCTAATCAGATAATACGTACGTGTACAAATCTGTATTGATTAGAACAGCTGTCTTGGAATATAATTCCTCAGTAAGGTTTGTGCAGAATCTAGAGTAGGAGGCATCTGTGGTACGACCTTCTTGAGGTAACAGAACGACAGGCCATCATTGCAGGCAGTGAGTGAAACTCTTTTATTGTCTTCCCGATATAACAGCCGGGGTGATAGTGACCTTTATTACCCACGTGGTCAACGTATGGGTAGTTGCATACTAATCTCGTACGTCACACGTGTGTCGTATCGCGTTGACCTGTGTCGTAACGCCTTGACCTGAGATTCCAACGATTTGATTGGATAACCGATGACCTCTCAATTAGGTCACATTCTTACGTAACTATATTTTCATTCATAACAAACACGTGAATTCATTCATTCTACAACTTAAATGCATTGTGGGAATGTAAGAATCGAGAACGTTGCCGTGTCGCTGTTTAATTGTGAGTCGAACTGAGACATTATATCCGTCGAAAAACATAAACGCAATGTTTCCACCAGTGATGTTAGCCGAAAGAAGCAACTGCAAACCAAGAAACGGGGTGCTACGGAGTAGTTTACTATAGGAGGCTGTTCGAGGCGATGACAACTGACATGCATCGTGACGTCGGTTACCAAGGCAGTGACGTCATTTTGTGTGACGTCATGCAAATATTGTACTACAGTACAAAACTTTTCCGCAACCCCTTTATGAAACCGGTTTCGGTTTGAAACCAAAATATTAACAAAAATACGCTATTTTGTCAGTTTAATGCATGTAAGACGTGGGTAATAAATAAAATACCACACTCGGTCTCATTACATACGAATTATACGAAACTCGTGACCTTCCTATGTTATCTGACCTCGCTTTCGCTCGGTCAGATACCATAGGAAGGACACTCGTTTCGTATAATTCGTATGTAATGAGACCTCGTGTAGTATTCTCTATATACGAAAGCATTTCTGTGTGTGTTGTTTTTGTTGTTACTGCTGCTGCTGTTGATGTTGTTGTTGTTTGTGTGTATTGGTCAGATACCACAGGAAGGACACTCGTTTCGTATAATTCGTATGTAATGAGACCTCGTGTAGTATTCTCTATATACGAAAGCATTTCTGTGTGTGTTGTTTTTGTTGTTGCTGCTGCTGCTGTTGATGTTGTTGTTGTTTGTGTGTATTGAATGTTATCATTGTTCAAATAGAATTAAGAGTGCAATACTATTTAGGAAAGTTTCCAATCTAGAATGATAGTGTGGTTGGTCTACAGAACCAAACTTGATCTCGACTTCACAATAAACTTACACATACTATACATGTACAATCTGCAGTCCCCGACAGAAGACACTACGATGACCTGCGTCGTCTTTCCATACAGAAGACACTACTGCAGAGGGCACCATATTGACATCTGATATATTTTTCGACAAAAGACACGGCGATGACTTGTTTGGTATTTTTCGAGAGAAATCACTATGACACCCCGTGTTACATTTCTCCAGAAATATAACTATGACACCCCGTGTTACATTTCTCGAGAAATATAACTATGACACCCTGTGTTACATTTCTCGAGAAATATAACTATGACACCCCGTGTTACATTTCTCGAAAAATATAACTATGACACCCTGTGTTACATTTCTCGAGAGAAATCACTCTGACACCCTGTGTTACATTTCTCGAGAGATATCACTTTGACACCCTGTGTTACATTTCTCGAGAGATATCACTCTGACACCCTGTGTTACATTTCTCGAGAGAAATCACTCTGACACCCTGTTACATTTCTCGAGAGAAATCACTCTGACACCCTGTGTTACATTTCTCGAGAGATATCACTCTGACACCCTGTGTTACATTTCTCGACAGATATCACTCTGACACCCTGTGTTACATTTCTCGAGAGATATCACTCTGACACCCGTGTTACATTTCTCGAGAGAAATCACTCTGACACCCTGTGTTACATTTCTCGAGAGATATCACTCTGACACCCTGTGTTACATTTCTCGAGAGAAATCACTATGACCCCCTGTGTTACATTTCTCGTGAGATATCACTCTGACACCCTGTGTTACATTTCTCGAGAGAAATCACTCTGACACCCTGTTACATTTCTCGAGAGAAATCACTCTGACACCCTGTGTTACATTTCTCGAGAGATATCACTCTGACACCCTGTGTTACATTTCTCGAGAGAAATCACTCTGACACCCTGTGTTACATTTCTCGAGAGAAATCACTCTGACACCCTGTGTTACATTTCTCGAGAGATATCACTCTGACACCCTGTGTTACATTTCTCGAGAGAAATCACTCTGACACCCTGTGTTACATTTCTCGAGAGAAATCACTCTGACACCCTGTGTTACATTTCTCGACAGATATCACTATGACACCCTGTGTTACATTTCTCGAGAGAAATCACTCTGACACCCTGTGTTACATTTCTCGAGAGATATCACTCTGACACCCTGTGTTACATTTCTCGAGAGAAATCACTATGACACCCTGTGTTACATTTCTCGAGAGAAATCACTCTGACACCCTGTGTTACATTTCTCGAGAGAAATCACTATGACACCCTGTGTTACATTTCTCGAGAGAAATCACTCTGACACCCTGTTACATTTCTCGAGAGAAATCACTCTGACACCCTGTGTTACATTTCTCGAGAGAAATCACTCTGACACCCTGTGTTACATTTCTCGAGAGATATCACTCTGACACCCTGTGTTACATTTCTCGAGAGAAATCACTCTGACACCCTGTGTTACATTTCTCGAGAGAAATCACTATGACACCCTGTGTTACATTTCTCGAGAGAAATCACTTTGACACCCTGTGTTACATTTCTCGAGAGAAATCACTCTGACACCCTGTGTTACATTTCTCGACTAACACAATACCGACGGGAGGCAGTTTAATGTAAAGTTCCTTAAGAAGACATTTACATGTACACAATCTCTTCAACCGAGAGTGTTTGTGACCCACGGTTAACCCCTCACTTTCGTATACATAATTCATCAGGTAATGTGTTCATATGTATCAAACACTGGGCATCTCGCGCTGATCACTGCGTTAACTTGGAGCCCATATCGCATGTTATTCTTCATAAAACACTGGGCATCTCGCGCTGATCACTGCGTTAACATAGAGCGCACATCGCGTGTTATTCTTCATAAAACACTGGGCATCTCGCGCTGATCACTGCGTTAACATAGAGCGCACATCGCGTGTTATTCTTCATAAAACACTGGGCATCGCGCGCTGATCACTGCGTTAACATAGAGCGCACATCGCATGTTATTCTTCATAAAACACTGGGCATCTCGCGCTGATCACTGCGTTAACATAGAGCGCACATCGCGTGTTATTCTTCATAAAACACTGGGCATCTCGCGCTGATCACTGCGTTAACATAGAACGCACATCGCGTGTTATTTTTCAACACACACTGGGCATCTCGCGCTGATCACTGTGTTAACAGAGAGCGCACATCGCGTGTCATTCTTCACTGCGTTACCATAGAGCGCATATCGCGTGTTATTCTTCATAAAACACTGGGCATCTCGCGCTGATCACTGTGTTAACATAGAGCGCATATCGCGTGTTATTCTTCATGAAACACTGGGCATCTCGCGCTGATCACTGCGTTAACTTGGAGCCCATATCGCATGTTATTCTTCATAAAACACTGGGCATCTCGCGCTGATCACTGCGTTAACATAGAGCGCACATCGCGTGTTATTCTTCATAAAACACTGGACATCTCGCACTGATCACTGTGTTAACATAGAACGCACATCGCATGTTATTCTTCATAAAACACTGGGCATCTCGCGCTGATCACTGCGTTAACATAGAGCGCACATCGCGTGTTATTCTTTATAAAACACTGGGCATCTCGCGCTGATCACTGCGTTAACATAGAGCGCACATCGCGTGTTATTCTTCATAAAGCACTGGGCATCTCGCGCTGATCACTGCGTTAACATCGAGCGCACATCGCGTGTTATTTTTCAACACACACTGGGCATCTCGCGCTGATCACTGTGTTAACATAGAGCGCACATCGTGTGTTATTTTTCAACACACACTGGGCATCTCGCGCTGATCACTGTGTTAACAGAGAGCGCACATCGCGTGTCATTCTTCACTGCGTTAACATAGAGCGCATATCGCGTGTTATTCTTCATAAAACACTGGGCATCTCGCGTTGATCACTGCGTTAACATAGAGCGCACATCGCATATTATTCTTCATAAAACACTGGGCATCTCGCGCTGATCACTGCGTTAACATAGAGCGCACATCGCATGTTATTCTTCATAAAACACTGGGCATCTCGCGTTGATCACTGTGTTAACATAGAGCGCATATCGCGTGTTATTCTTCATAAAACACTGGGCATCTCGCGCTGATCACTGTGTTAACATAGAGCGCATATCGCGTGTTATTCTTCATAAAACACTGGGCATCTCGCGCTGATCACTGTGTTAACATAGACCGTATATCGCATGTTATTCTTCATTAAGCACTGGGCATCTCGCGCTGATCACTGCGTTAACATAGAGCGCATATCGAATGTTAATTATTCTTCAACACACACTGGACATCAATAGATCTAACTATTATTTAACATATCAACATTATATCTTTATATATTAAATGCCATCCAGTCAGATACTATCGTACGCGGTCAATGTTTGAAAACTGTGTGTAAACACATCGTTCTGGTGTTCCTGTGATTTACTGTCACAGTTTGGTGGTCTAGTCTGTGCCTTGTACACGAACAGCAGGTCAGCGCGAACCTCCCCAGTCGGTGGCCCTCACTCTCATGTTTAGAGATGCGTTATAAACATCTTTAGTCGTAAAAGCAGTTA